ATTGTCGCGAAACAGTAGGACCTCTAATCACATTATTGCAAAACAATCTGAGATTGTCTAGCGGTTAGAACGCTGGCCTTGTAATCCTGGGGTCTCGGGTTCGATTCCCGGCGGTGCCCGAATTTATAACTTGTGTTGGGCAAGGCCGTGGTCTAGGCAACGCGGGGTTTTCCTCCGGGGGCTTCCCCGGTTTCTCCGTGGCATCCCAACAATTACTCCATTCACACACAGAAGAAGGCAATGGCAAACCACTTCTGGATCATCTGCCAAGAACGTGTATGAACAGGTCCCAGTCCGAGAAAAGGATGGAAGGATCCTGTTCATATGGACCTGTCATCAGACAGAACACTAAATAAATAATAAAAAAATCTGAGATTACCGTCTGAAGACGTTGTGTAACAATGGTTTGAGCACTCATTAGTGCAAGAATGGCCTAGGATTCAACTATGAACGGGTATCCATTAATTCAACAGTAGCGTCTAGACACATCTAAAAAGTTACTGTACTCGAAAGAATACGTCTTTGTCAATCTCGTTTTAAGTGAGAAACCGAGAATGATAGATCTGTGTACGACGTTGTCGAGTTACAAAGCGCACTGCTCGTTTTAATTTAACATATATGACAGCCAGGTTCAAGCGGATAATCTCTCATCATCATAATCTTGTAACTGGTTTTCTTTTCAGCGCAGGAAACCGTCATTGATTCCTCTGCCATGCTTGAATTCCTGTGAAGTTACCTGATTTCAGTACAATCTTTCCGCTGTGATTTTGCTTTGCCCCTTTTCCGGCTACGTGCTAAATTTGTGACAGAGACCAATCGCTTATGTGACTCCATCCGGCCTTATAATTTTATGGAATTATTTTCTTAGTCTCGTCTTCGAAATGAATGAGAGAAGAATAAGTTGGAAGGAGTTTGAAGGTGTTGAATCGCGATCCGACAACCTTCGCTTTGTGTGTCCCTACCTCATGAATTTCAAATTTTCCCGAACTAATTCAAATTTATACCACGTAGAATGAGTCAAGATCTACCTTACGATTTCCACTTTCGATTATTCTTCTCCTGAAAGGAAGAAAATGTAGCGCTGTCTGTCTGTCGCTTGTATTAAGTCGCGAGTTGTAATATGTTAATATCTTATTAGGAAGACGCCACTTAATGACATGATTTGCATTTTTCCGTTAAGAGACTATGTTCTCCTTCATCTTTCTCAAGTAAATGTTGGGATTGTGTGTCGGCAACGACCACTTCCATCTACGTGAACCTAGAATGCAAAAGCATAATTTGTTATATGCCGCCTGAACTACGCGATAAAATAGTATTAGGCACAGCGAAACGAGGGATAGTAGCCGTAAGTCTAACAGTAAAACCTCTGCGTAAGACATCATTAAGTCTCATGATAATTAATTTATATTTCTATACAGATCAATATCCACGCTGCCATAATTTCTGCTTCTGTTACTGACGTCGGAGCTCATTGTCTTATTTATCCTTACCGATTTTAAGTTTCCTCCCTTCTCGCGCATTTCAGTGGCCACCATAAAATGGCAGGGCAGTAGGAAGTGAGCTGTTGTGACTGGGAGAAACAATAGATAAACGGTTTTTGTCCAGAATTGACCCTGGTACATTTATCACACGAACTTAACCTGTCGTTAAACACATTAATTTATCCAAAATGATAATGGGCTCTTGATCAAGACCAGAAAATTGTAGGGGCACATACGAAGTGCTGACCATACGTTTACAATTCCGGATATTAATTACTTAGAATTCTTTAATAATGTGATGAATGGAGTGCAATTACACCGAATCTTTGTCATGTTACAAAAGAATATTATTCAGTTACAAGGGGCGATTAATTGTAAAGATGTAGAATATCAAGCTCAGATGGAGTACATGGAGTCGCCGCGTTGCTATGGTGCTAATTCGTGAAGCGATGCGACAAACAAGGTTTTAATGTGTAATAGAATACGTAGCTGTTTTATTCATCTTTGTGAGAAATTTCAACTAATCTTCTTCCATTCGCCGTACTAAGATTTCCATGAATTTTGCATAAATATTATAGCTTATAAACATTTACGCATTCAGATGTTTCCCCTGTTCCTGTCTTACGCCATGATTATTTTGTACAAACAATTTGTCATCATATAATATGACGACAAAATTTTTTTTATTTCAATGGGGTGAGAATATTTTTCTATGGAGCTGGGATCTTAACGGGTCCTTTGTCCGTCCCGGAAGTGATATATGGATCCGCGGTGGAATGATATTGACCCAGTGCTGCTTTGTACGCCGCAGACCCCACATGAACTGACAGGGACGCGAACTCTTGCTACCACGGTGATAATCCGGTGACTAACAGCCCAACTTATGATCGTCAGATAGAACAATTGTGTGATTTCAGTGAACAATATGGTCCCCTAAGTTGAAGATTTCTGTCTTCTGGGTTGTTGCGCTGTGTAGTCTGGTCGATGTTTACCAACGTTTCAGAGGTCATACTGCCTCCGTCATCAGGGCGATGAATCTACCAGACTACACAGCGCAACAACCCAGAAGACAGAAATCTTCATACTCACCGCTGTGAAAACCTCAAATCTTACGTCCCTTAAGTTGTTTGAAGTAAGTTTATTTTTCTATTTAACAGTCCTGTTTCAACTGCGACACTTTATTGAATTAAATGGGAAAATGGTCGTAAACTGTGTATAGGTAAGATTTAGAAAAAGAACTGCCGTGCCCTATTTCACATCATTGGCCTGGAGAGATTGCGGCTAAGAAGGATACAAGGCATGAAGATTTTGACAAAGCCAGGGGGGGTGGGGAAACGGATGCGTATAGAATTTTATTTGGAGAACCTGAATGAAAGAGACTACTTGAAAGACTTAGATGTAGATGGGATAATAGTATTAAAGTTGATCTATGGGAAACAGTGTTGGGGGTGTGGACTGGGTTAATATGATTTATATTCTCGGGACTGGGGCCGGTGAGGGTTGTGAACAGGTTTCATAAAATGTGGAGAATTTCTTGACTAATCAAGCTTCTCAAACAGGAATTTTGTCTATCGAGTTAGTTAGATTCCTAGCCCATAATCCACTTAACTGAACTAAAATTTTATCCGTCTTTTCTTTAAACGCAAAACCTGTCCTTTTTATTTTATAGAAAGTGTAAACTGTAATATGAGTAGAACATATTTCATGAATGCGATAAGCTTAGGCTTAGTTTTAAATAATGCAGGCCTTAACTATTTTTATAGTACTATTAATTGGTGTAATTAAATCTGTGAGACTGGTAATATGCCACACGTAGGGTAAACTATACCGAAATACGAAGTTTGCTTAAGTAACCAGTAGCAGAGAAATTATCTTGAAGGTGAAGATTAATTCCGGATTAGTTCAAGATGGGACGCAGTGGAGGACATTGATTTTACGACAAGCAGATACAGGTAATTTGTTAGTAGGCCAGCTTGCTTGGTAGTCAGTTTGTGTGGTTTTCGAATTAACAGTCGCTGAACTGTGCATACAACTGTAAATATTTCATACATCTAGAAAGTGTTTTAAGAAATTTTCATACAATAATGTTTCGCAAATTGTAAAAATTCACACTATTTTGAATGACAATCATGTAAGGACGCCAATAGAATCATAATATGAACCATATGCAAGTCACAAAGATAAAACATGTCACTCGCCTATCTATGTAAATGTCACATATCCAAGTACTAGTTAAATTACAATGTGTTATTCCTGTCTGGCTGCGGTTTATCTACGTTATCTCTGTATTTTAAGGTCTTGCATTGTAGTAGCTTACTGGCGACCTCAATATTTCAGTGATTCACACGCGAGTCGCAGTGTCCCGCGAAATCTTGAAAAAGCGTTTGTACATATAAAAACAATTGACAAATTGTTCAAAAATGAGCAGTAATATCTGTTAAGCCCTGTTTTGTAATCGTCCTCTGTTGCTATCTCCTTGTTGAGCTGTTACTGCCTCCAAATTTTAAATATTTTGTAACAAATTTTTATCTTAGTGTTATAATTTATTACTTTTCTTAACCATTTAGAGCATGGTGGTTACTATATATACACAACCTTCTTTAACAGTCAATAACTCTGGTACGGACTCAATTTTTATATATTATTTATATGAGTTTCGGCTTAAAGCTTTATTTTATAACATTTTACGTGACGAATATCGATTATTTAAATGTTCTCACACAAATTTTACTAAGTGGAAGGAGAAAATTTGCAGGTAGGTGGCAGTCTGATCCCGAACCTCACACATATGATGAATCTGAAGTGTTCGGTTCACACTACAACATATGTCTAAAAAAGTTCAAAGTGACAGCGATCTTTAAATTAGAAATTTATATAATTTAGTTTTCACTATTAAAAGTTCACAAGAAAACAACAAGTTTTCGAGCTTTACTAATTATTAATACTGATAATTATTATTAACTGAATGAAATGTTTTGGTTAATTTTACTCTGTAGAGGTATTCTCTGTCTTCGGCTAAAATTAACGTATTTTCTAAAGGTACGCGGTTCGAATTTCTGTCGTGGCATGGGCTGTCCCGACTGAGATCTTAATTATTTTCAGAATTATACGACATCTCTTTGATATATACAATTACGGTTTAATTCAAATTGTCGATGCTGAATAACGACTACAGTTAATACGGTGGATATATGACATACGAATCAAGTAACAAATTTGTTTTCTAGTTTACTGAACGTGTCTTATACACACACACACACACCTGCATGTACACTTCTTGGAGCTAAAGTGCAAAGTTGTTGGATGACAAATTAAACAACCAATTAAAAAGAAATAAAAGTAGCACGTATGGTGTAGTGGAGGTATAACTCCACCTTTTCCTGACCTCGGCATTAAATGGGGGGTGAATGGTTAGTTTTGCAGTCCGGTTGTTCATTGTTAGTACATAAAAATGGTTGATAAAATAAGGCTTTATATTTTAACTATCAGCAGTTCTGAAATTAGAGTGTTAGTACTTACAGTTTGAAGACGTCGCTCGGTTCTAATGGCGTGAAGTACCATGGCGTTACCCACAACTGTCACAAGACTAAGCATGTACATGGCAATCCCCATCGGTACTGCCAGACCCAAGTTTAAATAAACCTTGTCTTCCAGACTGTCTGCACTTGAATTCTCAACAGTCTCGTCATAAACAGACGTGGTTTTATTCCAAAACATCGAACATGCGTAAGAAAAGTTAATTTTATTTTCTATCGAACATGCTTTGTGGTTTGTATTATTATCACTACTGCTGTTTACTATAAAGTTCTCACTGTAAGCACTAGAAATCTCCATTAGGTGGTTAATGTCGTAATTATATTTTGATATATTGTAGAGATAGTACATTTAGTGACTGATTTTCGGCGATCATTTAAACGAAGGCTTGAAAAAGTGAAAAACAAAAACTTAAAGAGAGGAAAATTTAAAATTTTTGAAGTAATTTAAAGTAAACTTCCTATTAACTTTTCACTTTGTTGTTTCGTTACGGTGAAAACTGACGATGCTATATGCACGACACGACACGACTCAGCGTGCTGATATGTAAGTTTAAAATTCATTAGTAACTGTTTTTAAAAGTCTAATTTGTGATTAAGTTCCAGTGCCGCAAGTAACACGTCCAAGCGTTTTAATTTGAAGATTTTATCCGAAAAATATAACTTTCGAAAGAGGTTACGCCGTTGCATTTTTGTCTCTTCCAGCAAACGGCGATCGTCGCTACTGCTTGAACGTCAGACGCTTTCTGACAAAGGAAACCAAAATACGATCGAGGTAGTGACTTCACTGGCGCAGCGAACGCGATATTCCGATTGGAGTCGAGATGTCCCGGATATAAACGAATTCAAGTGTGTGGAGTGGTTTGGGGCTCTGACGTCCCATGAGCGTCGCGGTGCGAGGCGAACTAAGATCGGATGCTTCGGCACAGTATAAAGGCTTGCATATTCGTTGCTATCTGGATGGCGGCGTCGAACGCATGTATGAACTCTGGATGATACGGAATAAGACAGTGCAGAACTACAGTAGTTAATTACGACGGAGATAAATTGACTTCCGACACACATTTTATGTCCCTCTGAATCAGACATTGGGACAGCCACGCTCCGTGCCATTATATTCAGTATAAAGCGAGGAAGGTATCATAAATGATTTCAGATCCACTTATTACCATATTCAATCTGCTTCATTTTTTCTTATTTGAGTCCTTATTTTGATTAGCTAGCAAACATTCCTCTTTAGCAACATAGATCCTCTTCTAAAAATGTTATTTTTATTTTATTAGCTATTTGAAACCCGGCTGAATGAGAGAAAAGTCACTATATGTAAAATAGGGTGGGGGGACTTAAATTTTCGCCTGTGAAAGTTCCCATGAATTTTGACACTAATATTAGGAGGCAGCTTTGTCATGTTAAAATTACAAATTCCGATAGACTGCAGTAAAACCCTGATCAACTTGAAATCAAAGTCCATTTATAGAATATTTAAAGACTGAGTTTTTTCCACAAATAAAAAACAACCCGTCTCTATTACATAGATAACGTGGTTAGTACTGTTTAGGGAAACAGACCTAATCGCTAATTATTCTGATAATTACACGAAATTATAAATATGATATATTCTGTGGGGAAAATTCAGATTTACTTAGTGTTAAAGTAGGTAGTTCACGTTGTTACATTTTGGTTTTAAAGTTCAATAGAATTTTCTTCGTTGGATGATAGGATGAACGTTAATGGTGAAATAAATCGATCGTGTCTTATTTAACCCTTTAAAGCCGAAGCTCTCCTAAACAATTTCACATATAAAGTTGAAATTGTGGGTTTGCATGCTTGTTCGCTTGTAGCTTGAGAACGGATATACCGATTTGCATCAGACTTAGCATGCTTATTTCCTGAGACCAGGAATAGATCATGTCAGGGTCAGAACTCCGGAAAAGTTCCACGAGTTGGATTCCCGCTGATTGCGTTTCCCGTTACTCAGAAAACTAAGCACGATAGTAGAAATGCGCCTGGACCAAAGTTGTCTCGAAGCAAAGCTAAGACAAGAATCTCGAGAAATTATCCTGAGTTCGACTTCCAGTGAAAATGGTTTCTGTAGCTCGGATAATAAGCACGGCAGAAGGAAATCGTCTAGAGAAAAACTGTTTGTTTCTAAAATGAGATTGTAGAAACTACCGCCGCACTAATGAACTGTCCTGGGTTCGAGTCATGACGAGGAAGTTTTATGTACCTCCAAAACTAAGGAGAAACAAGAAAAGAACTGAGTCAAGACTAATTTTGAAATTAAAGAAACTAAGGTCACAAACCCGAAAACTCTCCTGGGTTCGAGTCTCAACAAGATATGACCCATCCAAAGCGACGCCAACTGAAGATGTCACTGGTAGTGAACAGAAGTCTGGAAAGCCACAAGACATGACGCTGGTAAACCGATACAGACCGTTGGAACGTGTATCGACGAGATGCCGACTCAAGATTCCATGTTCGCGAACAAGAGCC